ACGTCTTTATTCATTGTGCCATGTGTCCTTGATCCGAAACGTTGTAATAAATATGGCGACAAAGATGAGGACAATAGTCCGAATAATGTAAATAGTGTACATAATACCTCATCTCAGAAATATAGACAGATAATGAAGGGTCGAAACCTTGTGATAAATATGGCAACAAAGATGAGGACAATAGTCCGAATAATGTAAATAGTGTACATAATACCTCATCTCAGAAATATAGACAGATAATGAAGGGCCGAAACCTTGTGATAAATATGGCGACAAAGATGAGGACAATTGTCCAAATAATGTAAATAGTGTACATAATACTTCATCTCAGAAATATAGACAGATACTGAAGGGCTGGAACCTTGTGATAAATATGGCGACAAAGATGAGGACAATTGTCCAAATAATGTAAATAGTGTACATAATACTTCATCTCAGAAATATAGACAGATACTGAAGGGCTGGAACCTTGTGATAAATATGGCGACAAAGATGAGGACAATTGTCCAAATAATGTAAATAGTGTACATAATACCTCATCTCAGAAATATAGACAGATACTGAAATGCCGAAACCTTGTAATAAATATGGCGACAAAGATGAGGACAATAGTCCGAATAAAGTAAATAGTGTACATAATACTTCATCTCAGAAATATAGTCAGATACTAAAGGTCCGAAGTGTTGTAATAAATATGGCGACAAAGATGAGGACAATAATCCGAATAATGTAAATATTGTATATAATACCTCATCTCAGAAATATAGAAAGATAGAATCGCGTATTATACTCTTATGCATATTATACACGAGTAATTGCAGTACTTTGCATCGTTGCTGGTACATAATTTATGTGAAGGTTTGTTGATACAAATTTTAAAAATAACAGTGCGTATTATACAGGAGTAATTGCAGTACTTTACATTTCTATGTAATTACTCCGCGACAGCTACGAAATTGATGCATTTAAGTAAGATACGGTATCGTAGAGTAAGACCGTAGCACACTTATTTATGCCTCCGCGAATATATCATCACGCGATATAATATTTGAAGGTTGTTCCATCATGACACATATTGCCGTAAATAAAACTGCTTATTATTGAATTATCAGATAGAAGAATTCTGTTAAATTCTGTTAATTCAAGTGAAACTCTTGAACAGATTTTTCTAGCTCGGAGCATGTTTCCAGGAATTTTACCTTTTGTTTAATCTTCGACAAAATAGGAAATATACACGCGACTGTCTAGGTTAATTCGATTAACGTCTACCTTGTAGCGATATGCAGGCATAACATGATATTGTGAACTCAAACACACAATCACAGCTATTTATACAAGTATATCAGATAGATTGACATGAACAGCCTGAGATAGATTTGAGACTAAGATAGATAGATAGATAGATAGATAGATAGATAGATAGATATGAGTCTGAGATAGATAGATAGATAGATAGATAGATAGATAATAAACATAAATAGAGACACATAGATATGAATAGACTGTCATATAAAGATAGATAATGAACACAAATAGAGGGACATAAATAGATATGAAGAGACTCATATATATATATATATATATATATATATATATATATATAGGGAGAGAGAGAAATAAATAGATAGATAGATAGATAGATAGATAGATAGATAGATAGAGATAGATAGATATGAACAGTGATTGATAGAAAGATATGAACATAGATAGATAGATAGATAGATAGATAGATAGATAGATAGATATGAGTCTGAGATAGATAGATAGATAGATAGATAGATAGATAGATAGATAGATAGAGACACATAGATATGAATAGACTGTCATATAAAGATAGATAATGAACACAAATAGAGGGACATAAATAGATATGAAGAGACTCTCATATATATATATATATATATATATATATATAGGGAGAGAGAGGAAATAAATAGATAGATAGATAGATAGATAGATAGATAGATATGAACAGTGATTGATAGAAAGATATGAACATAGATAGATAGATAGATAGATAGATAGATAGATAGATAGATAGATATGAACAGTGATAGATAGATAGATAGATAGATAGATAGATAGATAGATAGATGTAAACAGCCAGAAAATATGCCACTGAGATAAATAAATATAAAGATATGACTAGACTGAGGGAGAGATTTAAATTGCCTTGGTCCTAGAATCATACATTCAGGATCCTGTTTTAGAAAGTAACAGTTCTGGTGGGCGGTGGAAAAGAAGCAGACTGAAACTTCTTCCTTACCAAATAAGAATGAAATGATGATGAGTCGACTCTGTGTCCATGGCATGTTGAGTCTTAGCTCTGAAGGGTAGACGGTTTCATCTAAGGAATATAGCTTACATGAAGATCTATAATGAAAGGAACAATAGAGTAGCGATAGGCTGGCAAATTATGGCTGTTGAATATAATTTTCACACTCAGAAATGTGACATTAACAATAAATTACACTTACACATATCATACACACTCCCAAAGAAGTAAATGCTAACATATACTTAACACACGCACATCCCTTTCCCAGCAAACAAGAAATCTGTCGAAGTGACGAAGTCTAAGTCACATGAATCTCCCCAGTTTCTATCTTAAAAACAATTGACCAACACAAGGTCTGACCAAATTTAACGATAAAGAAAAAAAAAAAAAGGAAATGAACAGATAATCTTCATTTTCTACGGAAAGTCATTTATTCCAGTAGTTCACTGTTAAAACAAGGTGGATTTTTTTTTTCTCCTGATAAAGGCCATGCTGGCCGAAACTATCTGAAATAATAAAATAAACAAATGTTAATATACTAGTCAGTGTTACGGAAAATTTTATTTTTTTAAATTTTTTGTATTTTGATTATTCATAAACACACACACACACACACACACATATATATATATATATATATATATATATGAATTAAATAAATATATATACAAGTATACATACAGGCGTGCGATTACATATATATATATATTGAAAAATAAATATTTAATTTAATTTTTAATGTTAAGAAAAGAGTGCTCAGTGTTGTACTACAGAGCTATAAAGTATATAATAATAAATCTACATATTACCTTACGTCAAAAACACAACTCGGAGTTTCATGTTCATGAGTTGTATTTTTATATATATATATATATATATATATATATATATATATATATATATATATATATATATATATATATATATATATATATATATATAGTATTTAAACTTCAATCTTCCATCAATAAAGTAAATTCGACCTTGCTAACCGAACGCCGCTTCGTGGCCAAATCGGTAAAGGCACGTCAAATAAATGACGGTTCCGTATAGGATACAGGTTCGAATCCTGTCAGAGGACGAATATTTTCAGAAAATTTCTCGGACATTCAGGCCGGTAAATGTTGTTTAATACCGTTTATTATAAACATAGCATTTACTTGAATATTTTAGCTATAAAAGAATGTATAAACATAAATATGTCTTTTTAAAAATAATTGTTGGATATTGTCCATTTCATAATATGTGACGTCATATATATATATATATATATATATATATATATATATATATATATATAGTAAAGGTAATGATGGTATAAAATCCTAATAATATAAAATATTAAAACTGACCCACGAAAAGATACCAATGTATTTATTATTACAGAGCCAATAAACAGTATCACAGAATAAAATCCAAAATTTCAACAGACAAAATCATTGTCAGTCTTATTCGTGTCTGAATTAGAAATTTAAATGTGACAGCTGGCGAAAAATTAATACACAATTTATCCATTTCAATGTTTCAGTCAGACGAAAGGCACGAGACAGGGGTCAGGGGAGGGTGGAAGGTATTACCCATATGAGGTATTACCTATTTGAGGTAATTTTGGATTTTATTGTGTTATACTATCTATCTATCTATCTATCTATCTATATATATATATATATATATATATATATATGTACTTGGTACTTTAATTGAATTTAATTCAAATAATTATATTGAAGTTTTCGGCTCTTGTTTTGAAACATGAGAACTCTTATGTAGCGATGGAATCATATTTTTAAATAAATAATTATATTTATGCTCTACTTTTTTATCGAGCACTATTTTTTAAAAATAATAACAAAAATACTAAAGAACTTTGGATTATTTTCCTAACGAGTTCTTTCCTATTTTCTATATATTTTTACACACACACACATATATACATATATATATATTATTGTGTTATACTATATATGGCTGTGTGAGTGTGTGTGTGTGTGTGTGTGTGTATGCGTGTGTGTGTCTGTGTGACAGAGATCGATGGATATCAGAGTGAAATAGATAAATGAATGAAGAATTTCTGTCTAGTTTTACTAGTTATGTTCCGGTAAATGTCATCACTTCATGACTGACATCAGTGGTCAGGGTTCTAACCGTACTGACGGCTATCATTTCCTACACTGGTAATTTTCAAAGTAGCCCGCTTGTCAATAATTGGATGGGAAGTGTCTTGAATTTTACAAGTATACCATTGAAATGATTTCTACTGACATTGATAGTAAATGTATCACTGGTTTGGTCGGAATTAATTGACTGATTCGTTTTCTTCGTCTTATCAACCATTTTCAGGTTATTTAAAGCCAGAAAATATTTTCAGATTTGAAATTGTTTTCTTTTGCGGGGGATAGGGGTGAGGTGAAATAATAATGATTAAGTGATACAAGTCTTACTAATTAACCTTCCAGCTGGAGGGAGAAAAGGTGGATTTATACTTTTCTCCGGATTATTTGCACGTTAGAGAATACAACAAACCCGAAGGAATTGGAACTTAGATTGCCGATTAACATTTCCGAGCCATTACCCATTCTACACATCCCACCTTATGGCACCACGTATTCCCTAATCGGCCATTCACGTAATCGGTGTTGCTTAACTTCGGGAATCGTATGTGAACCGGTATTTCAACGTTATGTGTCCATAAGCTCTTTTGACTTACACGCATATGCATGTT